CTTAGTCGGTCCTCATAGGCTTTAAGCCTACCAATCGCTTCTTCAAATGGCATGGCATCCACATCTGAGTACTGCTCGATCGATGCCACCAACTGCAGATATTTTTCTGGGACTGAGTCGAGTAATTTTCTCATCAATACGCTATCTTCGAGGGTTGCACCAAGGCTACTATACTTTGAGATCATTCCGCTCAATTTTCCTGCGAATTCGTCTATGGACTCCCCGTCTCTCATCCGTAGGGACTCGAAATCGCTTTTGAGAGTGTGTAGTCTCGCCTTCTGTACACGATCAGCACCCAAATACCTCAATTTCAAGGATTCCCAGACCTCCTTTGCTGTCTTCTTCTTTGCTACTTGCAACAGAATATCTTCCGGTACCGCTTGGAAGATGAAGGCTCGAGCCGACTTGTTCTTCTTCTCATCCACGACCACTCCGGCCTGTGGTTCGATGGATTCCCATATCCCCTGGGCATCCATGATGGCTTCCATCTTTATCGCCCAAGTGGTGTAGTTCGTCGATGTCAACATCGGGCACTGAAACGGTACTCCTCCGCTTTCCTTTCCCTGCTGTGTTACGATCGACATGTCTTCTAGTCTGAGATATTTGGGCATGAACCTACGCTCTGATACCAAGTGTTGGAAGAAGACCTGCACATGAACAGCACCACACTCCAAATACACAAGGTAAAAAAAAAGACTCAATGTTGGGGCGATTTTCTAAATTTTATTACTCAACTAAAGGAAAACTTTCTGCGTGATTACAAGGAAAAACTACTACTATTTAAAGCTGAAAAAAACTAAACAGTAACCCACGTACTCCTAGGCTATAGGTAACCCACTACCCATTATTCTCCAACCAACTTGGTCAACTCAAGACCAAGTCAGAATTACCATCTGACAGACTCGGGATAGTAATTGTCTTGCTAACTTTCTTCCAAATGTGTGTTTTTCTAGAATTGTGCTCAAGGAAGAAGATTGGTAGTGCTGAGATGTGTTCGGACTCTGTCCTCAAAATATAACAACCTGAGAGTGCTTTGGTTGCTAGTAAAAGTATATCCAAAAATCAATCATCTCTCAATAACAAGAGTTAATTCATTCATTGGTCTAGTATCAATAAAGATAGTGATGTTATGAGTTGGCACTATCGATTAGGTCATCCGAGTTTCAGGTATCTTGAAAAGTTGTTTCCTTATTAATCACTAATAAACGCTCAAACTCTTTTTTGAGTGAAATCTATCAATTTGCAAAACATACATGCTCCATTTATCCTAGTATACCTCATAGTTCATTCAAACATTTTCCCTAGTTCACCATGATATTTGGGGACCATCAAGAAATAAAAATGTTAATGGAGCGCATTGGTTCGTGTCGTTTGTGGATGATCATACCTGAAGCACACTTGGTGGTTCTTGTGAGAGAAAAATCAGAGGTCGAGAGAATAATCCAATCATTCAACTCAAACATAGTTCAACACTAAGGTTAGAATGTTGAAATACGACAATGCATGAGAACATTTTCATCCACTTTTGTGGAATATATGTCTAGCAAGGAAACATTCAAAGAAGTTCATGTGTTAACCTACCACAACAAAATGGCAAAACAACAAAAATCTTTCATTTGCTAGAAGTTGCTCAATCACTAATATTCTCCACAAATGTTCCAAAATATTTATAGAGAGAACCATGTTTACGTCTACTTACCTTATCAACAAACTACCATCCCGAATCTTAAAATTCAAAACCCTATGTCAAATTCTCGTTGATATATTTCCTCGTGCTCATTTTGTCTTCTAATCTACCCTTCATATAATATCTGAGTGCTTTGCATTCGTCCATGTCTATTCTCAAGATAGAAAAACTTTGATCCAAAATCCACCAAATGTATCTTCATTAGTCACACTCCCAATAAAACGGCTACAAGTATTTTAATCTAATCACAAGGAAGGTATTAGAAACATTGGATGTGACATTCTTTAGTCATCACCAAAACATCCGGGATGTCTTCTGAGTCTGAGTTCATTAATCAGTCACCAAATCTCCTTCCGCTAAAGCGACACGAGCTTCCTTTAAATCAATCACGATCCAAACCTCAGTTAGCAGCTAAAGAGCCTCAAGAGCCTGAGAGTAGGACACATCCTATGACAATACAAGATTTTGAATCAAGCCTAATGTTCGATGAAACTAGCATATCGGAGGAGAGACAAATTCAAATCAAGGGAAGGTTGTTGATGTTGTGATTTAATTATATCACTTATATGGATGCTACACAAAGAGAACATCATAAAATCAAAGAATTTTGGGCCGGACAACTAGAGTTGCGGCTTAGGCCACACCCCAAATTGTGCGACTCTGTCCAAATCCCACGTCTTCATTCGTGCCTCTTCCTGCACAACTCGTGGAGTCTCCATGTGACTTCAGTAGCCGAGCGAGATATCCCGTGTCCTTTAATCGACAATAGCATGGGTGCTCAACCCATGACATTACCTACTCTCTTTCTTTGCGTTTTGCTTCATTTTGTCATTTATCCACTTTGCTTACTTCCTCAACACACTACACCTTTTCTACTCTCTCTAGAAACTTTGCTTTTATAGTATATGTGATTTTATGAATGTGTTCTTGAAGATCTTGTTGGTTAGTTGATCTTGGATCTAAGGATCTTGTATAAGCATGTTGTAATCTCCTTGGTGGTAATAAAATTTTGCTCTCTCTCTCTCTCTTCGGTGGATGTACACTATCACACAGATCCTTGTGTCATTTGGTTGTGAACTTGTTTGTAAGCTTAGATCTTGCATATCTTGCTGATATTTACATTGTGGTTAGTATCTCTTCATTTGAGTTGGGTTGTTTGTGCATTTGGATTTCTACTAACTTTGGGACCATAGAATTCACTTATGTATTTGCATATCTGGCATATCCAACCTTACAGTTTGTATCATAGCTTCAGATCTAGATTTAGTGTTTGTGTAGAAAATATACACAAGCTACTTGGCATATATATTTGTCTTGATGGTTGAAGAAGATGGAAACCCATTTGATAATGGAAACTAGCAGTTCAAGAAGAACGAATTCATGGCCTTGGAAAACAATAATACTTGGGTCATTGAGGATATTCACCAGCAAAAGGGTAGTGAGTTGCAAATGGGTGTTCGCTGTGAAACATAAGCCGGATGGGAGTATAGAGCGCTTTAAGGCTCGTCTTGCAGCCAGGGTATTTACTTAGTCATATGGTGTCCATTATCAAGAGACCTTTTCCCCTGTCGCTATACTTAATACTATTTGGATACTTCTTTCTCTTGCTGCAAATTTGGATAGGCAACTTCATCAAATCGACATAAAAAACGCATTATGGAACTTTGAAGGAAGAGGTATACATGGAGATCCCCTCAGGTTTGCAAGTGAACCATGTAGATTCTCTAGTTCTGTAAAAGGAAGAGGATTTGTCTAATGCCAAGTCGATAACACGCTGTTTGTGAAACGTCAACTGAAAACAATCTAGCTATCCTAACGGTGTATATTGGTGCTATCATCTTGACGAGAGATTACGAAGAAGAATTGTTTGGGATAAAGAGGGGGCTTAGCAGAGGATTTTGAAGTAAAAGATTGAAGTCCTCTACTTTATTTTCTCGGTATGGAGGTGGTGAGATCAATGAAACGAATATTTGTCTCCTGGCGCAAATATACTCTAGATCTACATATGGAGACCAGCATGCTAGGGTATAAACCAGCTAGTATTCCTATGGAATCAAAGAAAAAGTGAGGAAGTAAAGAAGATGGAACTCCGACAGATAGAGGCTGATATCAACGCCTTATATGGGGGACTCGTTTATCTCTACCATACTAGACCCGAAATAGGTTTCGCAGTAAGTGTGGTTAGTCATTTCATGAACAACCCTATGAAGGAGCATACGGATGCAATTTATCAGATGCTGAGATACTTAAAATGACTCATGGAAAGGGATTATTGTTCAAGAGATGAATGTCAGGATATAACCTTATACTCGGACGCAAACTGGGGATGAAGTCAAAAAGATAGTCGATCAACAACATGGTATTGTTCCCTTGCATGAGGAATCCTTGTAACTTGGCAAAGCAAGATGCAATTAGTTGCATCTATAAGTAGCACTGAATCCGAGCTAAGAGTGTTAGCTACAACAATATGTGAAGGGATATGGGTTAGTGAGTAATGACTAAACTAGGACTGAAATTTGATAAAGCTGTTAAATTGAAGCGCAACAATGAAGCAACCATTAGCATGGAAAAAGATCTGGTTCATCATAACCGAACCAAGCTTCTGGAGATTGATCGACATTTCATTGCAGTAAAGATTGAGAATTCAGAAGTTAAAAGTACTTTTCACTCCAACACAAGAATAACTAGGCACTAGCTGATATTCTAACTAAACCTCTGCAAGGACAAAATTTGGAGAAAGTATGCAGCAAGTTGGGCATATACAACATGAGTATTAAAAGTTGCCAAAATTTATGGATCATTATTTGTGATAAGAAATATATTAGTTTAGATTTCTTGGCAAGTTGTTTTTAACCAAGTACTTTAGATATCTTCTTTTTCAGTCAGTCTTAGGTACTTTTTAGGATTGCTAAACAATAAAACAAGTTGTATACTCCATATGAGAAGAGAATACACAATCTCCAAAATTCTTCATAATTGTTAAGGAATTAACAAGAAAAGGAAACAAAATATAGGAATAAAATTTCCCCAAGCGTTGTATAAATGTTTGTAAATTGCAGCAAGAGAATATAGCTGTTATTGATTTCAATAATACATAAAGGCTCTCTAAAGATATCCTTTACAATGTCTATAGCTATTTGACATCAAAAGACGATTGCTATGACTAATTTTGCCTATGAATCTGTATGGTCAATCCATAACAAAGAAGAATCTCGTTCACATTTTCAACATAATGAAGTTGACAATTGCTGTGTCTAGTTAACTAACAGATTATAATCTCTTAACAAGATCATTATGTCAAATATTTTTGCAGGCGTCCTTCTTCATGACGTACGTTATGACAACAGGTTGGGCAAGCCTGGCATGGGAGTTGATGCAACCGTATGTCCTTATAGTTAACTGGATCTTTCAATTTGTTTTGATGAGGAAAGAGGGCTTTGGTGACCTGTACACTTTCCCGTACCACACTGAAGTTCCAAGGACCCTTCTATTTGCACTCCTTGGGTTCACATTCAGCACTTTGGCACCCTTGATATTACCTTTCCTGCTTGTCTACTACTTCTTCGCGTATTTTGTATACCGAAATCAGGTTCATTCCATTTCCAAGTTCATATCTATCTCATCATTCTTCTATACAATGTGTTTATTATATTTTTCTATCCATGCAAGTTGTATTTGTTCAATTTTCCTTTTCATGCGTTTATGATTATGGTGACATAATTTGTTACTTTCCTACTTCAACGTAGGAATATAGGATATATTTACCATGTCTTGAAACATTGAGCACACACATTAAGGGTGGAAAGTAACATGTAGAAAAAAATATGAAGAGGTCTGAGTCCCCTCAGGGCTCCTGGAGGTATGCCTGACTGGTGACTTTAGGGCCTCATGGGATTAGTAAAGATGCGTACAATCTAGCTTAGACAACCCAGGGTTATCAAAGAACTCTGTAGCCCTTATGGTGGAACACCCTAGAATTTGAGAGTTCAGATTAAACCTGACTAATACAAAATATAGATTTCAGATTCTTTTTTTATGTTAAGAAGGGTAGAAAAAAATGGTAAATGTATTTTTAGATATGAGTTATCTAAGGACTAAGAAGAGGTATTATGTTATCTGCAGACAAGAGCACAGTGCATGAAGTGGCTTCATGTAGCAAGTTTCTTGTTTTACACTCTATGATCCTACTTGAGTTGAAAAGTAGATTTTGCAAGATTGAAATGGAACATAATAATTATGAAACCTGGATATAGTACACAAAGGTACACCTTGGGACTATAAACTCAAACAAGTAAGACCTAGAGAATATTTGGTAATATTGTTGATGGATCTTTGAGAAAATGTAGAAAAGTATCAAATGGGAACATGGTTTAATTTGCCTCTACCATCTGACCAAGCTTTGTTTTCTGGTTATATCTTATTGTCTGTGTCGCATAATCTCCTTGAACGATCAAGAAGCTGATGTATTTAATGCTTGCAGATCCTGAACGTTTATATTACCAGATACAATACGAATGGACTTTATTGGCCTGTTGCACATAATGCCATGATCTTTTCATTAATAGTTATGCAAGGAGTAGCTGCAATAATTTTTGGAATGAAAGATTTTGGGACTGCATCAACCTTCACATTCGTACTGATCATCTTCACTAGCCTTTTCAACGTGTTTTGCCGCCATAAGTTTTTACCGCTTTTTAAGAACAATGCTGCTCAGGTATAGGCACAAAACTTTCCTCTCTCTCTCTCTCTCTCTTGTTCTTGATATATGATTTTTCTATAGGATCTTATTGAGATGGACCGACATGATGAGCATTCTGGGAAGATTGAAGAGATTCTGCCACGTTTACTGGCATCCTATTATCAGTTCGGACCATATTCTGGTAATCATCCCAGTGATCTACTTTCAGCAGATTACAAAAAATGTGGCGAGAATCCCGTGGTGGTCACAAAACCTAAAGAACACGAGACCAGGTTTGAATCGCTTGCTTATGTTTACTAGTAGTTTATTAGGGACAAGTTCAAATAAGAATCGTAAATTTTTTGAGAACATGAGAACCAACTATTTTATGAGTTATTAAGATGAAAAACTCTATAAAATATCGGTGACTATTATTCATAATAAATACCATGCATTTCATTCATCATGAATAATTGGTTATGAGGTTCTCAAAGTATTTAAAGTTCTCATTTGAAACTGCCCCTAGTTTATTAAAGTGCCATCAAATAACATTGTCTTCAATTCAGTCGAGATCCAGCAACCACAACAATCTCTGGCTCAAAACTCTGATTTTGGAGCCACTGTTTTAGATTTATGGAAGTTGTTCATATATTAATGGGGGATTGGTTTTATCACCATTTCTGGAGATGAGAAAGCAAGAGAAAAAGAAAGATTCTGGGAAAGCCTTGTACAGAAGATGGTGCTCCTGGAACTTTTGAATGTAATCTACAATCCCTAGCTATATAAATGGAACACATACATATAATAGAATAGAATGGAAAGTTTTGCATGTGTAATGGGAATAAAACAGAGAAGTGACTTATCAAGTTGTATATAAATATAGCATATTTGGTTATCACAGATTCATATTCAAGCTCATTGTTACTTGTGTGCTCACATTCTACCAAATTGATTATAAAGGGTCATATTGTGTGGTTGGTTTTTGATTATATTTTATAAACACAACGTTTAAAATTCTCTAAGTTTGAAAAATGTATACTCGATGAGGTGGGATTACATTCCTTCCCTGCTTTAATGGAGACTAAAAGGGTACTCATACAATTTTACAAGATATATCTTAATTTTGATGTCCTTCTTTCTATTGATATAATACGGTTTTATATGGTTTTGAAAAGCGATAATGTTTTTATTTTTAATAAATTATATAAATTTGAAATTATTGTAAAATTTTGGAAAAAAATATATGTTTTGATGTTAGTATCAAATTAATTATTTAAAACTTCTCGTTTTTTGTGTAATTTTTTTAATTAATTTTTTATTATTATAATTTAGTTCAAGTTTAATAACAAACTAATTTATTTTTGGTTTAAATATGTAATTTTTTGTAAAGATAATAATTAAGTACTATGTTAAAACTCAATGATTATCCAAGTTCTATTTTATATTTAAAATAAGATGTTTATCTTGTATTTAATTATAGTTAAAAAATAAAGTTTTAATAAAGTTGTATAGACGTACAATTTACTTATAATATTGAATTCTAAGTAATATGTATCAATAAGCAGTACTTTGTGTATATGAAAAATGAATTTTAAGAGTTTTTTTTTTATCAAATGTTTTATAATATAACTAGAAAAGTACTTACACAATGCAACGAAATATATCTTCATTTTAATGTTTTATTTTATTTTTTGTCTCTATTGATATAATACGATTAATATGGTTTTGAGAAAGATAATGTTTTTACGATTTAGTGAAGTAATTTATTTTTGGCTTAACGATAAAATTTTATARAWATAATGATTYTGTTAGAACTCAATGATTATCTTAATTATATTTTAGATTTTTTGTATTCAAAATGAGATGTTTATCCTGTATTTGATTATGTTTATATGCAGTTATTTATGCGAATTCAAAAATGGAGCTTTAATAAGTTGTATTTACGCATAATTTACTTGTAACCTTAAATTTTAAGTAATATGCATTAATACACATGCATAAAGAATGATTTATAAAAGTTTTTATCAAATGTTTAATATAGTATAAATATATATTACAATCCCAAGGAAGGTAATGTTGCACTTGTCGTGTTTCAGCCCTAGGCCATCAGTCAACTAAATCTGTAAATCATGATTCAAAAAGAGTTGTTTTTGGGGAATGTTATTTGCACCCCAATAGAAGGCAAAATCAGGTCGATTCTTTTACTGAAAAAGTAGAAAGTAATTATCGATTTTGATATGTATGAGAAAGAAATTCATAGTTAAATGTGCACTTAGCAATAGATAAGGGTGTATCTAGTCCAACCTTATTTTTTAAATCATGGATTTCGAGGGCAATTGTTTGGGTGTGAAGTCGTGACACCATTGTACTACACATAATCTTATTAAATAGCAATAACTAACAACAATAAAAGAAGGGATAAGATCATGAGATAAAATCGTTTTGACCTAGTCATCCTTAAATATTTCAAACTTAACCGCCAAGTCAAGACCATTACCTACGGGTGAGGATTACGACCTCTACTTCTCTGAAACTAGCTAGGGGGAGTATCAATGGCCAAGCTCTATGACGGGTGTCGAGTCCGCAAACAATAAGATTTAGGAATTCCTATAACCTCTATTTCACAACCGATTGTGATAACGATGAGTAAATTCGTCTCCACAAGAACTCGGTGTTAACCTTAGAAATGGAGAACTAGCTACTCATCATATCCTTCGATTGGAAATCAAAATAAACATACAAAGATTGCAAATATGGAAATGATGAACCCTAGAAGAAACTCTAATTACATCTCCAAGAATGCTCCTCAATATCGTGCTCCCCAGTCTCGGTTTGTTGCTTCAATTTTCTTCCTTGAAATCGATTGACCCCCCAAAACGATGATTAATGACCGATATTTATACCATCTCCCGAAGAAACCTTCGACACCCAATTAAATAGAACACATAGGGTCATCGGCGCCTATTGGCATAGCTAAAGGCGCCACGAAATGTGATAACCAGATCCTGGTTATCACCCAAGGTAATTAATACATGATTATCTGATTGTATGATTACGTGATAGCATGATAAATTAATACATTTGATCATGTTAGTATGTGAAAATGTGCATAATTTAGATGCATGAATGAGATTATGTGTATAAGTGGATGCACATGTTTGTATGATATA